TGTGCCAAATCAAACTGCATCTTGCAATTGCACATGGAATATAATTGTGCTCCATCATATATGGTTTTCAAGAAATATTTGGTTCTTAACAATGGCAGTGTTATTTGCTAAATATGGGTATCTGCTGACTGCTGTTTCTTAAGAAGAGCTTGAGGCTATTTTCCTTCTCTCAGACTACTGAGGATTAATAAAGATAACAATATGACATCAAGTTTATTCAAATTTATAGCAACCTTCAAATGATTTTCTAATATAAAAGAATTCAGAAACAGTTTATGAGTCCCTCAGTCGGGTGATTTTCTGATACCAGGCAGTTTGCCCAAGGCAGTACAAGTGGCAAGGTGGGAGACTTTTTCAGCCACACATACTCCAGTTGATCTTGGCTTTAACCTCTCCCAGAAAGCACAGAGCGGATTTGGACTCTCAAACCCTGGCTCCACAGTTAGTTGCTCCATCCTACTTGGCTGGACACAGTCCACAATGGAATGTTACCTATTTCCAGTTGAATTACTTCTGTGGATATTAGTTGGAGTTCACTCATGGTGTTCTGGAGAACAGATTGAATTGTTCCTACCCAAAGTGAGCGCGAGGGCTTGCTCACAATTGCATTTGTCCCACTGTTTGGGGGCGAACGGCTTTGCTCTTTTTTCTGGCAATTGCCTGCCATGGTAAAGAGCAAACCAATTCACCCCTGCAGCACACCCAACATGCCGAAATTGCTAGAGCAGACCAATTTGCCCTCAAAACACCCCTCTCCACACCTTTCTGAGCTACTTTTTGGTGTTGGTTGGTACGCTCTAGTTTGGTGCATTCCCACCATGTGCAATTGCTGGGAATGGACCAAAATCAAGCTGTAGCTGTCAAAGCTACTAAGGCTCCTTCTGGTATCAGTTTCCAGTATCTTGAAGTGGCTTAATAAATTAGCCACTTCAGGATGTTGGCAAATTGAATATTATCCCTACTCCTCTGCTAGATCAAAGCTGATGCATTGAATCATTATATTAAACTATTTTTTTCCTTTGCATGGGTACATGAGAGACAGCTGTCCCTCAGACTTTGGAAGTCCCTCCCATGGGAGGCTAGGCTGGCCTTGTCCTTTACTCTCTGTCTGCAGGCAGGTGAAGTCCTTTCTCTTCAGGCAAGCTTTCTCTGAGTGACTGCCTGCCTGAGCATGATCTTTTAGATGGATTGTTTTGCATTGCTGCTTTGAATGTGTTTTGATATTGCTTATGTTTTTTAGTATGGTATTTGTTTGGCCCTTTTTAGTGTTTGTGTACTCACTGTAGTTAGGTTTAATATTGTCTTTTAAGGATGCAAGCCACCTTGGGTCTTTTTTAGGAGAAAAGGAGGGCAAAAACATAATGAATGAATGAATGAATGAATGAATGAATGAATGAATGAATGAATGAATGAATGAATGAATGAATGAATGAATATTTGACCACTATTGGCCTTTCATTTATTACTAGTTCTTCTGGCAAATTCTTGATGGGCAAGTCTTTCACCATATTCACTATCCTATTGAATATTAAATTCTTTAAACACTCAGTATCTTAGTTGTTCACACAGTGCACTCAAAGTTAGTTACATTCCTACCTCACTCTTGATATGTTGTGATGGTATATGTATTTTCCTATACCAACTTATACTCTGAAAGCAATTGAATATATGTCCTCAAAATGTCTGTTATACAGATGCACCAATATGGTAACTGTAAAATTAGTGCTGCTTAAGGTAGGTGCCTAGTAGTTTTACTTAGAATGCTGCTATTATTGTGAAATAGTATTCTAGACTATCTTTTAGGATATGTACTGTCCAAAGGCAGGATGCTACAAATAAATGCAATGCAACATTAACATCTCATCATTTAAAGACACCACTAAGCTATCCTTCAGAAAGTTAAGATACAAATGGTTGATATATTGAATTACTGCAGCTTTGTAAGTACCAAAAGAGAGACATATTTATGGAATGTGTGAGTAAATACCGGTAAATGGAAGGTGTGGGTGAATGAAAAGCAGAAATCCAGCTGTAATTCAACAGGAAGATGGTGAGTGTTTTCTGATATCCAAGTGACAAATGACCTGTCAACTGAAAATTGATAATTCTCTGGTAGAACCATTACGGGGATGGCTGTTCAATGAGAGTCAGTAAGTTAACTGCTGTTTATGCTTTTGAAGCACCTATTTTGCATGCCTTAAATCACTGCAGATCTCAAATGAATTCTGCCCTACTTTGTGTCATAGGGGGGAAAAAAGTACTGCAAACACAGCAGAAAACCTGTATGGCTTTATGACTGTGGTTCACATGATGAGATTCATTTCAATAGATTTACTACTAAAATCCATATTAAATAACAAGAAGGAAGATTAATCATACCTCAGTCGGTTCTGTACACATTATATAGTTTTATGAGGGCTACTGTGTCTGCAATGAGAGGCTCTATTATATCATCAGCCTTGTGTTTTTATGCTGTTTAGTCAATAGGTGACTAAATAAAAATACAAAAGATTCCAAAAGATCTCCTGTATGGAGAATTAGTGCAGGGAAATTCCCCCAGAGGGAAACCACAGCTGCGATACAAGGACATCTGCAAGCGGGATCTGAAGGCCTTAGGAATGGACCTCAACAGATAGGAAACCCTGATATCTGAGTGTTCAGCCTGGAGGCAAGTGGTGCATCATGGCCTTTCCTATTTTGAAAAAATAGGCCGAGGCAAAGAGGCAGTCCCGAATAGGCCGAGGCAAAGAGGCAGTCCCGAATAGGCCGAGGCAAAGAGGCAGTCCCGAATAGGCCGAGGCAAAGAGGCAGTCCCGAATAGGCCGAGGCAAAGAGGCAGTCCCGAATAGGCCGAGGCAAAGAGGCAGTCCCGAATAGGCCGAGGCAAAGTATTTTGAAAAAATAGGCCGAGGCAAAGAGGCAGTCCCGAATAGGCCGAGGCAAAGAGGCAGTCCCAAAACCAGCAAAATCAGAGATCTGGACAGGGGACAGGTTGTATCTGTCTTCAGTGTGGAAGGGATTATCACTCTCGAATTGGCCTTCTCAGCCACACTAGATGCTGTTCCAAGTCCTCTATTCAGAGCATGTTACCATAGTCTCTCGAGACTGAAGGATGCCTAATTGGACTATATAAAGACAGTAAAATTCTGTTGAACTGGCAAGCCAATTGCAGTTTGTATGTATGTATGTATGTATGTATGTATGTATGCATGCATGCATGCATGCATGCATGCATGCATGCATGCATGCATGCATGCATGCATGCATGCATGCATGCATGCATGCATGCATGCATGCATGCATGCATGCATGCATGCATGCATGCATGCATGCATGCATGCATGCATGCATGCCTAGTGGCCTTGTCACAACTCCGGGTGGTTTCAAGCAGTGAAACAAACATCAAGAACATAACAACACCACAGATATAGAACATAGATCAGAGATATAGAAATATAAAATACAAAAAGAACTATGCAGCTAAACTCATGAGATGATGGCAACTGCATACTGTGGAATAATAGTAAGTAGTCAAGGGCAGTCCGGATGTAGGATATGTTTTTATAAGGATATATGTACATTTAGTTGTTTCTTATGGTAGAATTAGATTAGTTCTTCTTAAACACAAGAGTTTAATAGTGGCATATGGTTTTCAAGTTTTCATGTTTTTTGGTGGTGGAATTTGTTGGTGGTGTTGTCTGTTTTATGCTACTGTGGTTGTTTTTATAGAAAGCTGGTGTAGAAAGTAAATAAATAAAATAATGAAAGATAGCCTAGAACAGCGATGGCGAACCTATGGCATGAATGTAGCAGCTGGCACACGGAAGCCTTTCTGCTGGCACGCTAGCCATAGGTTGCCAGATCGCTACTCCCCCCTGCCCACTCTCCTCTGTGCAGCCAAACCTCAGGAGGCGGCTGCAGCCAGTGCTGGCATTTTGGCAGGTAGATCTGGAGCAACTGGTGCTGACAGTGGAGGGGCCTTGAAGCATCTCCGTGACAGGATTTCCCCTTCTGCCGCCGGTTCTGGGTGCGGCGGTGGCACACCGCCCACTTTTTTTTCCCCTCCCAGTTTGGTCACACGAGCCCAAAAAGATTTGCCACCACTGGCCTAGAACATGGAAAGGATTTTTTTACACAAAAAAGTAGCATCTCTAGGAGCACAATTCAGCAAAAATTGTTTTGTACACTAAAAAGTTACACATGCACAAAGATCTTTGAGACTTCAGGGAAGAAGGAAGGAAAATTAGGGCTGGTAGATTTCAAACTATTATGCATATCGAAACTAGTAGTGTTAAAATGGTTGTAAACATAGGGTTTTTTAAAAAAATAGAACTTTGAAGCTAATGAAAAACATCAGACTAATGTACGTATATGGTGAGTGAATGGGGAAATATATGCATAAATCAGTTCTCTTCTTACCAAGTCACAATAAAATGAGATTTGGATATAATTCATGGAAAATTTTTAAAAAAAATAAATTAGAGTATCTCTCAGCTTTATGGTTTTGAGGAGACCTAGATAAGATAGTTGAATTATGTATTAATTATTGCCTAAATAAAGCTGAATTGCTGCATCCCAATAAGTCACATTATGGGTTGCTTGTTTTGGATAACAGAAGGGCTTTTTTTTGGTAATAAGCTGTGTCCATATTTATCAGAAATTGTGTTTTTGCTTGCTCTTATCTATACTCAGTGCAAAGAATTTGGTTGAGAAATAAGAATACATTCTTTGTGTCCCTGTTAATCGGTGTTTTGTTGATGATTATCCACAATGGGGATATTCTCTCTCTACATATGCTTCATCGTTATTCTTTAGCTACCAGTAAACTATTGAGAAAGAAAACCATAAAATTAACCAAACAGGTCTGTTTTACTCTGAGTGTTTTCAAAAGTAATTACAGCAAGAAAGAGAGATTCTGAAGCAATTATTTTTGATGGGATTGCAGAAGCTGAGGTTAAGGATTAAACTAAAGTTAATCATCTTTTTCTTTTGCTCTCCAGGCTCGTTGGGATGGTTTGACAGGGCGAATTACTTTCAACAAAACAGATGGCTTAAGAAAGGATTTTGATTTGGACATCATTAGCCTCAAGGAGGAAGGAACGGAAAAGGTAACCAGTTTGGTTCCGCCATATTCATGCTGGGAGCCAGACGGTACAGTCAGCAAGACTGTGTACATATTTTAAGAAGGGGTTTAGAAGGCATGCTGAAATAATGTTGGGTGTGATCCATCTGGAGCCTATGCTGCAAAGTCTCATTGAGATGAATGCGAACAATACAAAAGCACTTATCTTGAGTTTATACCTCTTCTATTCACTTCAATGAGATTTGCACAACCAAATTGTCTGGGTGGCATGCACCAATTGACAGCATTATCTTGAAGCTAACCCACTTTTTTTTCCGTGTATTATAGCAAACATTTAAAAAACTAGTCACTTATTTTTAATCCTCTTCTAGTTTATTATAATGTATAGGTTTGACAGCTTCAAGATAACGAGAAACTAGTACAAAGTGGATGGTAAACCGCATGCTCTGATGAATGCTGTGTTGGCACTTCCCCAACCAGTATAACAGAGAACTGCATACTTCTGTTAAACATGCTGCAAACATGATTGTTGGCACTTCCCCACCCAGTATAACAGAGAACTGCATACAGTACTTCTGTTAAACATGCTGCAAACATGATGATCAGTTATTTTACTCTCTGTTCTATCCTTATTGACAAGCAGCTAATAAACACTGTTAGAACTTATTTTACAAGGCTTCATACATTCTATCTAATATGCATCTGGACTGCTGGCTGGAGATCATTATTTCTAATATAATAATTTGTATCCACTCACTCCATGGATTATCTAATCCCATCATTTTATATCTGAAACAATACTCCAGTATACAAAACAGCATGACACCCCAACCCTAAACTCTAATTGTAGCAATAAAAAAGTCTCACTTACATTCATGTTACATTAATACAGTATTCCTATGGAAAGAGTCAGACAGGGTAAATATATAGTTTAGGCCATTTGACTGAACAAAAGAAAAGGCTTGGCCTTTGGGTATAGGGGGCACGTTATGTACCTTTAGTTTCCCTTGCTGTCCTATTGACTCTCAACCCACATGCCTGCTGTTCTCTATTACTGGGCAATGGGAATTCAAAAAGATCCCTGTGGAGCCCTGCAAGGGAAACTCCACACACATTCAGTGTATTTGCACAAGGAAACATCATGCCATCTATATTCTGCTCATGTTGCTTTTGGAAGATCTTGAATTAGACATCACATACCAGCAGAAAAGGTCAAGCACAGCTGTATTTTATCAAGACAGACTCGAGAATTACATTGCTAGTAGAGCCCTCTATTTGTTATACAAATGAAACCTAAACTGTCTTAATCTTAGTAATATTTCTTGAGAAGACATCCCGTCCTCCCAAACACACAACTGGAATAACAAACAAACAAAAATAGTGCTGCCGAAACATAGTCCTGCTTTTCCACAGAAACCACAAGCAATGAAGACTACGTCTTCTCTTGTTAGGTCTTTCTGTTACAGCACAGACCAAATAAAGTATTCACAACTCTCTGGTGGAAATTGGCCATTTTTTAATATGGCAGGAGCGTGTCGAAAGAGGCTGAGACTCAATGCAGGAAATTTGCACAAGCAAAATGTATGTTCCTGTTTTTTGGAAACAGGTCTGTAATGAGAAAGAAAAAAAAGAGGCATTGGGTTCATTTTGAGTGAAGGAAACTATAGATCGATGAAAGGTTACTGCAACCAATTATTGAACACAATAATATTTAATACAGGTACTACCTATTATTAAACACAATCCTGGCCTAGTAAATCTTGAAGCTGTTAGCCGATTGAATGAAAATGCTAAGACTGTACAGCACTGTGAAGATTTGCTTTTCGTTTTTAATGAAGAATTTGTTTGTGTTCTTTCCCATTCTTTTCTAAATTAAGGCTGCTGGTGAAGTTACCAGTCATTTGTATAAAATATGGAAGAAGGTTTGTATGTAGATAAATGGTGTAAGAAACCATTGGGATGAGTCTCAAAAAAACTCTTCCTTGGGGTTTTGACGAATGACCTCAAATTGCAGTTTAGAGACAATAAAAGTTGGCCTTAGAATGTATTTTTGTTGTTGTTGATTAGAATTTTTACAAACCACTGCATTGTTATCTTTCCTTATGGATGCAATTCCAGCCTCCTGAACCCACAGGAGGTTTTAGTATATAGTGGGTTGCGGGCCAGTATACTATATGGAGGCAGTCATAGTTAAAGATGCAATCCTGCTAAAAACTAAATGATTACATTCCAGTAGGATTTCTGGTTTTGTAATTTGCAGTACCAACACTACAGAACTGTAGCCCCAGCAATTTGCAATAGGATTGGAAGAATTAAATTCCATAATAATAGAATCGTGTTTTGACACACAGTTGTTTTTCATATCTCTGTGTTTGTCCTTTTGAATTTTGATTATTCTAAATTGCTAGTGTCACTTTTAATGTTACAGAAAATAGCTCAGTTTAGTACATGTTCCATCACAGGATATGATTTTGCACCATCATCTCACCCTGTACTGACCTTTCCAACCATACACATCTTACAAATAATGCAGCATTGCTATGAATATTATTAAAATACTGTTGGTTATATCTATTGTTATGTTTGCATTAAGAGAAAGCACTGCACTCAGGGGAAGACAGGACACCAGTGATGCCGTGATCTCTCCTATGTACTGCAACCAATTTTGACATTCCCAATACCATTTCAGAGGGTCTTCTGAATCTCATAGAAGATCTTTCTAGAGGCATGATTTAAGCATGTAAGCGGCATCAACAAATGTCATATGTCCCGCCTTGTATTATTATTTCATTCCCAATTGGTATAACCGTGTGTGCAGGTATTTCGTATCTGTTTCTTAATCAATCACACATATTTTTCAAAATGGTGATTTTCTTAAAATATAGTTCTAATATATAAACTACTTCTTAAGTGCTCATCATGTTAAGAATCCATTTGCAGTATCATGATCTCTGTTTTATCAAACATTGAATTCAGATGATTTGACCCTAAAGTGTTGGCTTTTAGCATACTATATCCTATAAAGAATTGAATATTTCTGATGTGTTTTATATAAGAGTTTTCTAGGCTAATGCCTATCATTTCACTTATCTATCTTACACTAGAGCTTACCTATTGCACACCAGACCTAAATATAAGATACAGGAGGAAAGTCCCTTTTATTGCAAATGTATTTGGCTCTAACTAAGAGCCATTGTTAAGTGACACCAATTGACTGTGCAGGGATTAGCCCATTAAGGAGCCTGTAATTATTCAACAAAACAAGAGATGGTTCTTGTGTAGGAAAAACCACGGCATACAAGTTTTTCCCTGTCACCCAACATTAAATTCCTGACAAAGCAGAGTTTAATCTCCTGCCAATTGTTTAGACTCAGAATGCTGATTTTGTACATTTTGGTCCAAAGATATTTTAAATCAGGAAATATTTTTCTATTTATATTTTTCCCCATTTATATTTCTCTTCATATACGTAACCTTAAGAAAGCTTAAAGCTTTCGGCCATTCTCTTTATACCCTCATAAAATGCCCAGCCATTAAACTTTCTGAACAGGCAGCAAGCTGGTAACAAAAGATTCCATTTCCCTTATCAGTGGTATATAACATGCCACTGCCTGACAGATGATAATGTATGGAGGTGGTATTTTTTCTTTTCTTTTTTTGGCAGTTTTGTCTTACACTGAATTCTGACAAATTCCCTGGGAACTAGTATTTTGTTACACTAAACCCTGTTTGTCACTAAACTGCAATAACTCTCCCAAATGCACCCTAGTGATGTGGTAGTTTGATCTCATTCTCTCAGTGCCCTTCTGACCTTTCTCATCACTGTGAGGTTGAGTCACACTGCCATTTCTTTATAGATAATGTACACTACTCTCTGTATTTTGTGACTGTGTTGTTCTGTGCTTTGTATGAATGCTTTACTCTTTATCATTGCCAACATTTTCAAACACAATTTAAATGCAGTACATATAGATTCCTATCCTATATGTGTTCACTAAGAAGTACATTCCATTGAGTTGAATGGGATATGCCCTTTGGTAAGTAGTTATAGAATTGCAGGGCAGGCGAAACAAACTGTCAGTGTATGTACTGATTTATCTACATAAGGTCTGAAGTTTCAGTCTTCATAGTCCTCAGTCCCAACATCTCAAGTGGCAGGGTACAGCCGCTCCAAGTAGACTTTGTCTAGAGGGGCGGGGTATAAATTCAATAAAAGTAAAGTAAAAGTAAAGTAAACGGTGAGAAAACTGCCTGCCTGAGATTTAAGAATTACTGCCAGCATGACAAGGAGCATCAGAAAAAAGTTATCTGATTCAGCATACAGTTGTTCCATACGTTTATGGCATTAAACGGCCAAGGGCTCCACATGAAATAGTGGCAAAGTGGTACAGTTGTCATAAATGTTCTTGGATTACCATTCCCATCGCCACCAATTTTTGGCTGTTCTTGGGCTGATAGGAAATGGAATCTGACAAAGCATAAATGTCCACAGATTTCTACTGCTACTTGAAAGCTTACTGCTGGAGGGGGGGACTGAAAGACTTAAATCAGATAACCTTCCCCCCCGACAAACCCAAATTATGATACAAGCATTTCATTTATTTGAAAATCAATATCACTGAATCATTTCTTCTGAGAAGTGAATAAATGGGAGCACATTGTAGAAAACTTTAAAACAAGCGAACACCCACATAGTACTGCCATATACTTAGATGCATCAGAAAGAAATAGATGGTTCCTGACAGACAAAGAGCATACCAAGGAAAAACTGCTTCTCGCGTTTGAGCCCAGTACTCTCAGGAATAAATATAGCTTTAATCATGAAAACCAAAACAGTCAAGGGTTTGAAAGAGCTGAGAGCACTAAAAACAAAATACTTCACTACTGCAGCTTTCTACCCACTGAAAGCTTACACTGTTATGCTTTCATCCATGGAATGGCAGTTGAAACAGTCTTTATAGATCAAATACTACACAAGCAGAAGACTCTTTCATACTGTTGTTTTAACAGAGAATCACTATGTGTTCTCTGGCTGTCACTAAAAACCCATCTACTCTGTTGGAAGTAACTACAGTGTTTTTTTAATCTGGAAATTCATTGAAACATAAACCCTTTAACTATAATCAGCAACCATCTTTAAGGTAACAACTGACAATCTGAGTGAGGTTCTTTTTCTGAACAAGATGTTTTCTTGGAAGACACCTGGCACCTGCTACTAATATTAACTCTTAACTCCTCAGTATGTATTGTTGTACATCCTTCACCACATTTACAATGCTTCAAAAGCAATATTTTTCAATGAGGCAGCCATACAAGCCATACATCCAGTGTATCAGAGCAATACACATGCTCTTGTGAATCAAGCCAAAGGCCAATATGGACCTTTGGCTCTCTTAGTTTATGACCTGAAAGGATCTCATTATTATTCATCATTAATGACTGCTGATGAATAATGATGGTTTGCCCAATTGTAATTTCAAATAACCTGGCTTTCCAAACTGAGTGAAATCTAGCCACTCGTAGGAAGAATCTAGGATAAGCATAATGTGTCTTCTGCAGAGATGAGGCAGGCCACCATTGAACAGAGCAGATGAAAGACTGGCAGGATGGAACATTTTGTTTTTATTTTCTCTGCCAGTATTAGAATTTTTACATAATGAAAGGATAAAAACAAAAGTCTTCCCTGGATTAGATATGAACAGGACTGATTTTGGAAATCCTGGTTCTAATTAAAAGCCAAAATGTGGGTTAAATGGTCAGATCATTAAAATCATGGTGAATTTAGAAGCTCTAATGCTGTTCTATACATAGCCTGGGGAAAATACTTTTTGGACAACAACAAGAGGAGTTTGGGAATTGTAGTCCAAAAATGCAAATTTGTTAACTTTGGTCTTAAGGCCCATACATTCTTTAAACCTAATCAATAGTCCCTGCTATTGAACGAATGGGACTTTGCTAATGCTCTGTCTCATTGATTCCATGGATATACTCTGGTCGACTAACTGTTGGATTAAGCCCAGTTTTTGTTTGTGTGTTTTTGCTTGTTGCTTTTAGAAATAAACATATGCTATCTCATTTTTGTACCAATAATTCTACTCCCCAAGGAATAGTGTGAATTTTAAATTATATTTATTAGCTAGCATGCTGTCCCACCACACACTTCCAGGACTACTTCTATATAAGCAGATATTTGCTATGACTCACAGTTCATGGCGCTGGAGACTGATCCAGTTTTATGGCTTGCTATTGTCCTCAATGATCGTCAAGCCCCCTTTATCTCTATTCTTCTGTGAAACATTTTTGTGTTTTTGCAGTTTCTGCTGATGCTCCAGTTGCTGCCATTCATTTCCAAGATCAAGGTTAATTTTAAAAACTGTTAATTGGCTTTCTTTATGAATTTTTGCATCAATCAAGTAGCTAACAGACCAAACTGCTTTTCCTTCAATATTCTGAGTATGTCACTGATCAGTGGGTCATTTTATTGCTTCTGTCATGTACAATAGCCATTAAGTAACTAGAATAAATCTATGCCTTCAGTGGGTTTAGAGCAATAGGGAAGGGTCAATGGCTATATGGCTCTTTTTCTGCATTTGCCAACAAACTGTTAATCAGTTGCATTAAAAGGAAAAGAGATGTTTAAACTTTTTAATTAAAACAATTAAGGAATGGTGCAATCATATGCATGGCAATTAGAAATAAGTTCTATTGAGTTCAGTGGTGTTTGCTCACAGGTAGGTATATATAGGATTACAGACTAGAAAAGGCATTTAGGACACAAAGTAAGGTCTAACTGAGATAAATTAGATCTGCTAATTAATATCCAAATATATATTTTGGTCACACTCAGCTAACATCACTCTCTCAAAACTAACCCATTTCATTCTCTTTGGTATGAGTACTGTGTTTCTTAACTGTGAATGTGTGAATAATTCATCACTGCTTTAAAATACAACTGCTCCACTCCTTTTATATCTCATACGGCTGGATTTTAGTTTGTTTCTGTGATGTGCAATCATAACTAACATAAATTTCCTGCAAAGAACTATAATGTGCATCCATTGATGTGAATTCTCATTTTTGTAACATACTTAATGATGGTTGGGAGCCATGTATCTAATCTGTTTTATATAGATTGGGGTTTGGAACTCAAACAGTGGCCTTAATATGACTGACAGCAATAAAGACCGATCTACCAATATCACTGATTCACTGGCGAACCGAACACTCATAGTCACCACTATTTTGGTAAGTTCAGTGGTTGCCATTCCTAATGATGTATGTTTGCTGTTAAGAAGAATTTTCAAATTTTCTGCATTATATTAGATGGAGAAGTGCCTTGTGGAACAGTTCTGGGAGAAAGGAAGGATGTGATGCAAATAAACTAATAGATGTTACCTATAAGTTTTAAAACAATGTTTTAATTCAATAGAATTTTTAATATTATTGTTCATTTAATTATATTTTAGCATTATTACAACTTTTTTCCTGTTTTATATATTTGTTTCTTTTTATCTGGTTGTGAGCTGCCTTGAATCACCATTCTGGGAGAAAAGTGTGACTGGGGTCAAACAAACAAACAAACAAACAAATCAATCAATCAATCAATCAATCTGAGGGGACTGGAGCCATAATTTTGTCCAATGAGTAAAAAGGTGCAAATGAATAAAAATGTATTGGTGGTACCAGAAGGAACATAGGAGGAGCCTCTCTGAAGAGTGGAAAAGTATTGCAAGTGCATTTGTTCTTCCCATGGGCATTGGTGTGCAGCCAAGAAATCCTTCACTTCCAGAAATGCTGCACTGTCAAATTGGTGGTTATGAATAAAGAAAGAAAGGCCATTCTAGTCTCAACGTATGTTTGTTGAGACATGTGTTTGTTCTAGTCTTGACATGCAGTATCTTACTGTGACCATTATTCATTTGTAGTACATGTAGTACCTACACCAGCTTCATGAGTTGACACAAATGGTACTGACACACGAGGCCAACGCCAGAGCAACCCTTTACAGTCACTACCCCTTTCCTAGAACACTGGTTCACGTATAAAGTCTTCTTTATATATGAACCAGTGTTGTGTTTTTAAAAACATCATGTTTTCAGGTCCTGTGTTCTTGTAACTGTCCTAACTGATTCCCAGTTTATTTACTAGCCAATTTCATTATTGTCTTTGAACTAAATACAAATGTAAGCATGAATAAAATTCTCTCTCCACCCCCCCCCTTTTAAGCATTGTTTCTGTGAGGTACACGTGAATATGCCCCCCCTTTTAAGATGACAGAACCTACTCTGTTTTCACAATGTTGAAAACCACAAACTTAAGATTTTCTTCCTGACTGCATGTTCCCTACACAGCTGGGTAGGAAACTAGCAGCAGCTACAGTGGCCAGATACTGTGAATTAGAGCTAGACAATACTAGTAACTAGTTTAACTCTCACTGCAGCCCATGCATCAGATTAATTCTTGAATTTATCCTTCTGTAATAAAAGCATGACTAAGCATGACTTGGTCTGGATCCAATCCAGTGCTTTAAATGATTTTATATACCTCAAAACTGTGTTGGAGTGTGAGTGTCCCTCTAGATGATGTTGAACTCTAGTTACCCTCAAACCCCAGCTACCTCAGCCTGCACTCAGATACAATGCAATTAGTAGTTCGTTGACTTTTGGGAGCTCACAGGTTCCCCACCCTTGCCAGAAGATGTTCACTAGTAGATTTGGTGGGGGAGAGCATGATTTTGATATATGCACAATTGTACAGAGTGTTGAGCCCCTTCAAAATGATTGTCTTCCTGCTAACATATTCAGGTTTGATTAAGCGATGACATCATGGAATAAACTAAACAAATCCAGACAGTGTTGCATGAGCAAGCATTTTCCTCACACCAGACTGACCTTGTTTGCTCTGGCTAACAGTGTCACATAGCAAAAGTCATTGGCTACGTGAAGAAATCACTGTTGTTAGAAAGAGAACCAAAGTTAAAATAAAACAAGCAAGCAAATAAAAAATGATACCAAAGCCAACTGCAACTGTGCAAGTTTGTCTTTTTTTAAAAAAAGAATAACTCCCTGGCCAAAATTCCATCCAGAAAAATGAAGTGTATAAGGCCAGCTGGACAGCTCAGTGATTTAGCTATCTGACTCTGGAGACAGAGGTTGGAAGGTCAATTCCCCACTGCGTCTTCTGTGAGTAGAAGTAGCCTGTGTGACTTCGGGCAAGCTGTAAACCACTTCTGAGCATTCTCTACTTGGAAAACCCTGAAAAGGGTTGCCATTAGTCAGAATTGACTTGATGTCACATTATTATTATTATTATTATTATTATTATTATTATTATTATTATTATTATTATTATTATTATTATTTTGCCCCTACCAGGCACAGTCAATCAAAAATAAAAAACATTATATAACAGATGCAAGTTTTAACCAAAAACCTAAGGATCTGTTTTGTTGCAAGTTGCAGAGCAGTTTTTTCTCAGCTCTTGCCATTCACTGCATGAACAAGTGCCATTGCATGACCAATAGGACACGTGAGTGCTTCACTGACCTGAAAAAGCTAAGGAGCACAATAGCAACCTAGAAGTGTAGGTGGTTTCCCAGGCATGATTGTTAGTTTACATTGTAACGAACAGGATTCTGGCCACTGTATCTACTACTTTGGATCATTTATTAAGATTCATTAAACCATTAAAATTGATGAAAATACATTAAAAATCATTAAAATCACAAAGAATACAAATTAAAACAAAACAGAAGGAAAGTTAAACATTATATGATATTTTTGCCATTATATGTCATATATGCGTTTTTGCTCCCTTCTTAAAATCCATCAGAAGGGCAATATTATTATTATTATTATTTCTTTGATTTATACCCCGCCTATCTGGGTGACTCGTCCACTCTAGGTAGCTTATAATATAAAATCAAACAATAAAACCCAGAAAAGTACATAACCGTACAATCATTACAATTATAAGAAAATGGAGGGATAATAAAATAAGGGAAAATAAGAAAAGAAATATATTGCAACTCAGAAGGGAGTGCATTCCATAGCCTATATTTCTTTGTTATTTTTATGCTGTCTCTGTCCGTGTTGGGACTCAAGTCAGCTCACAGTAATTAAAACATATGTAATACAATCAACCCTCAGCTTACGAACTTAATCCGTTCCAGAAGGATGTTCGTAAGTCGAAAAGTTTGTAAGTTGAATCCTAATTTCCCGTAGGAATGCATTGAAAATTAATTAATGCATTCCTATGGGGGAAAGAGGTCAGAAACTTAAAAAAAAATGAAAGAAAGTCACTTATCAGGTACTGTAGACTGAGCCTGGCTCCTCACAGTGCTTTGGTAGGCCCCTGAACAGCCGAAAAAGAGCACCAAACAGCTAAAAGCCAGCAGGCAACCGGCAGCCATTTTGTGCTCTTCTCTGTTTTAGAACATCGCAATGCGAAGATCGGTAAGCGAAACGCTTACTGATCATCACAATGCGATGTTTAGCCTATCTAAACATCGCAATGCGATCGTAAAAACGATCGCAAAATCCGCATCGCTATGCGGATTCGTTGTTAAACGGTGCACTCGTTAAGCGGGGCACCACTGTATTCCCTCGCTGGGCATTTTTAAGAAACAATTAAAAACACCGATGTATAGGCAGGCCTTCCCAACAGATAACCCCTGACGATCTTTTTCTTTTTATACTTTCTTTGATCTCTATCTTTGCTAACCTGTAATGTTTTTAAAATTTTTATTGTTGGCTTGATTGTAAGCCGTCTAGAGTGGTCTAGTATGACCAGATAGGCGGGATAGAAATAAAATAAATAAAATAAAATAAATAAATAAATAAAAACATTTTGAAATATCTAAATTCAATAAATGCAACAGTGCCTGAGCATTATTGCTTAAAAGTCTGTCAGAAAAGGGAAGTCTTTGCCTGGCAATGGATGGAAAGTTAAAAGGAAGTAGCCAACTTAACTTCACAGGAGCCACACAGGAAATGGTCCTCTCTCACATGTTTGTTAGGTAGGCTTTGGGAACTGTTGGTATTTTTAAGAGGGTCTGATAACCCATAGCTGGCTGGGTAACCCAGTAAGTTAAGTGTCTGGCTGAAGAGTCAGAGGTTGGGAGTTTGATTCTCCACTGTGTCCCATGGAAGAAGAGCTAGTTTGCCTAACTTTGCTATCTAGAAACCCCCAGAAATGATCCCGTAATTTGAAGTTGCGGTGAAGGCAAGAGAAGAGTGAAGGCAAGAGGAGAAGGGGACGACAGAGGACGAGATGGTTGGACAGTGTCATTGAAGCGACCAACATGAATTTGACCCAACTGCAGGAGGCAGTGGAAGACAGAAGGGCCTGGCGTGCTCTGGTCCATGGGGTCACAAAAAGTCGGACACAACTTAACGACTAAACAAAAACAAAGTTGAAACTGATTTGATAGCATTTCAAATTAATTAATTAACCATAATACTTTGCATACTGACTAAAGATAGGCATGAACCACTGGTTTGGTGGTTCTGTGTGGTTTGCTTACCAGCTGCACACAACTAATTCATAGTTCAATGCCCTGCCCCCTCCAGAAGGCGCCCACTTAGAGACAGTGCCCAGCTTCCCTGCCCTACCTCCTCTAGGCACTGCCTCTGAATGGGCACCTGCTGGAGGAGGCAGGGCTCTGAATTACCCCAACCAGTGGTTTGTCCAATCACTAGTACTGACCATCTGTTAATTCTAACAGGAATTTTTAGAGCTTGAAATTACTAGGCTTTTTATTTTAAAAAACATTTTGATTCAAAGCTTCAGTGATAAACATAAATACAAATGATTAACATGTTTCTGGTTTTTTTTTTAAATTAAGCTTAAAGAGTCTCATAAGTACCCAATTTCTCACAGCCATTTTTTGTGTTGTTGTTTTTTTCCATACAGGAAGATCCCTATGTTATGTACAAGAAATCTGACAAACCGCTTTATGGCAATGACAGATTTGAAGGATATTGCCTGGATTTGTTGAAGGAGTTATCAAATATTTTAGGCTTTATCTATGAAGTGAAACTTGTGTCTGATGGTAAATATGGAGCCCAGAATGACAAAGGAGAATGGAATGGCATGGTCAAAGAACTCATAGATCATGTAAGAATGAGTCATGATCCTTATTAACCTATTCACTGTGTAACCACTGAATAGAAACATTTAAGCTAGAGCTTGAAAAAGTTACTTCTGAAAATTACTTCTGAGCTACAGCTCCCAAAATTCCCCAGACAAGATGGTCATGGTGGGAAGATTTTTGGAGTTACAGTTATAAGAACAAGGTAACCTTTCCGAGCTTTGATTTAAACTAACAGGCCACTATACCATTTTTTTTAAAAGAATAGACAATGCATTCCAATGCATGTCTGGTCAGAAGCAAGCCCCATTAAGTAAACAGGGTTTTTTCTGGTTAAGCATCTACAGGAGTGTGCTCTGAAAAGCTCTTTGAAATGCAAGAAGAATTAGAATGGGAAAAGGTGCAATATTTTTCCTAGAATACTAGGAGTGTCTATACAGAATGCAGTTCTGTTCTGTAACAACCAAGTGAGAATTTTGAGAGTTCCATGTCAGCAGGCCAAAAAAGCTGGAAGGACACTGTTAAACACAAGGAATGTGGCAGTGCTGACCACCATTATTCATCTGTTATTTATCTTTGGTTATCTCAGCACTTAATAGCTGATATTCCATGCTCCTCTAGAGCATTATTTTCTCTAATGTTCTTTGGCAGCAGCCTGCCTCTCATGTAATGAACATAATATATGGCCTAGCTATTAGTAAACAGACAAAGAGACCAATAATAGCTTTTAAAACACACAACAGGATAGCCGTGTTAGCCTCCTGAAACAAAAAATCTTAGGAGATCTTAACTACCAACTAATATATGATGAAAGCATGAGCATTCCTGGACAGTAGACCCCCTCACTGGATTTCTGTGCATGTCACTTCTCCTGGTGAAGCAATAAAAGTATTGCAGAAACAAGTACAGGAGACACATAAGTTGCCTGCGGTGTGCTCCTTTATTTTACACTTGCATATTTTCTTATGAAAATGTTAGTCTTAAGACTTAGAACTGTGGTCTGCAGTACCTTCCATAAGGCATATCAAATTCCATGTACTAGAACTGTAACAATATTGATTCATCATAGCATTGGTTTAATCACCTGGATAAAGCCAGCATCTTATTACTTATGTGGGCCAGCATAAATCATAAGAATGAATTACTGCTAGTTAAGGAGTCACTACCTGCATTCCTGACACATGCCACAGTATGCAGCTGGTGCACAAACAGGAGAACAACTGTCGACTCCTTAACTAACAGCAATTTGCCATCGTTTTTGAAGAGGTAACCATGTTAATCTGTGTAAACAAAATGTTCGTCGGCTTTAAGAGTCTCAGGTGTGTGGTTACATCTCACGTGTAGCAATTTATGGTCTACTGTATATCTGGTGTTACATTCTATTGCATACAATCCCACAGGATTGTTTGCCACTGTGGTTTACACTGTTGCAGTTACATTGCAGCATATATATACAACCAGCACAGCCACTTACAGAATATTTTCTGATTTTAAGGAAAAAAAAGACTTTGAAACCACATTTTAAACTCTCATATTTTAAAAAGAAAGAGAGGTCACAGTACACAAACCCTAGAAGCCACAGAATGCAAAAATAAATAAATAAATTTTACATTTAAAAATTACTGTACAGTCTAATTTTCACATTTAATTTTAATTTAATATTACAGTCTACTTTTCACATTTTAAATCCATACTGCAAGACCCATCAGAGCACAGAAACATAACCCCCCACCTAACCCTACCCCCCCCAAGCTGCAAAACCCCCTGTACATACAGTGTACTCATCCAGAACAGGCGGTCTCCCTGTTTTAAAAAAGAAAGTCAAAAATTAAAAAAATAATTTAAAAGCAAAAAAAAAAAAGTACATACAGTACAGTACCAAGCAGTACAGTACCAGGCAGTCTGAAGTCTCTCTCCATATCCACTCTCTAACCGATTGGACGAGCGAGGTAGCAGACAAGTAGCCTTTTCGCTGGCCAATGGTTAACTGAAAGTTCAAATTTCATGCTTTCCCCGCTTTCCCTGCATTTTTGTTTGTAACTTGAGGCTCCATTCGCAAGTCGAAGCAAAATTTTGCGAACGGGGCTGTTCGTAAGTCGAAAAGTTTGTAAGTAGGGATGTTCATAAGTCAAGGCACCACTGTACTGATGTTCAGAAGCAATAGAATTCTGACCATTTAGTCATGTTTCATAAGAAAAAAAGCAAAACACAGGTCAAATGCTACTTAAAAGCATCACCCAATCATACATGTAAAGTGACGTCAGTATTGCTTGTCTGAAGTTTGGTTTCCAGTGGTAGCTTAGAGACTAAGCAGGGAGGAGGACTCATTCCCAAATGGTGGAGGGAGGTGTCCCCCTGCTTTGTCCCTGAGTTCCCAAATTCTTTTTTCTTCCCAGTGAGAGAAAATGTTTTCCTTTAAATGTTTATCCATATCTATAATTCAGAACAAATTTAGTTTTATTTGCTACTTACTGATGAAAGTTAGTGGTGGAATAGAAAAATATGCTTGGCTGAACAGAAGAAGAAATAAGAACATTATTTTCCAATTTATGTTTCTCAGAAAGCTGACCTGGCAGTTGCTCCTCTCACTATTACCTACGTAAGAGAAAAAGTAATTGACTTCTCAAAGCCCTTCATGACGCTGGGAATCAGTATTTTATACCGGAAGCCCAATGGCACAAACCCTGGTGTTTTTTCCTTTCTAAACCCACTTTCTCCTGATATTTGGATGTATGTCCTGCTAGCCTGCCTTGGAGTCAGTTGTGTGCTTTTTGTCATTGCAAGGTAAGTTCAAAGGTTTCTGAAATTTAATTCATTCGTTTTTTCCTACACACTGTATGCTGGTTATGTAAATTATTCTTGTCTCAAAGATAATAACCTAAAATGTGCTGTCCAGTATCTCGTGCTATAATATTGTGTACAAGAGAATTCTATTATTGTGAAAGAAGGTGATAAAAGATAACATCTGTGAACTGATTTGGGTGTCTACAATCATAAGACTGCAAGAAGAACTGTGATGGATAAGGCCAGATAAACTACCAGATTCAACACGCTGTTTTCTTCTACTGGGATTGCCACAAAGCAGTCATTTACAAGCAGGACATGAATGCTGTACTTATCTCCACAAAGCAATCATTTATTTAGTTAATTGTCTTAAATATATCTGATTAGGGGCAATTATAGATGATCATTCAAGAGTAAATAAATGGGGAAAGAAACACCAGAAAGAGAAGTAGCACCTGGATGACTAGTTACTAGGACACAACATATGTTTGTTCGCAGCTGCCATGTGCAAAGTCAAGACAGCCATTCTCTGGTAGGAAAGGAACAGGAAGAAGAACAAGAGTTCCACCCCAAGTCTTTTTTAATGGGTTTGTTACCTTCCAGAGTGACATTTCAGGGGATTCGGGGAGATTATGGTGAGAAAATCGCTTTCTGCAAGTGGATTTCCTGTCATGAAGCATTGGATAAATCCAGTGGATTTACCATGAGAAACGGTCAGAATGTTCCAAAGCATACTTCACATTCATATGAGGCAGCGGTATGTAGTTGCCTGCAGCGTATGTCTCTCTAAAACTAGCCATCTTCTCCAAAACATTTCCGAAAATCTTTAGCAACACAAGGATTAATCTGCTGCTAGGTTAATGCTGAGAGTTTCTCTAAAGAAGGAAATTTTAAACAACCACTGAGTTACATTACACTACTGAAGATAGATCATTTTTGTTCCACTAAAGTAATTATCAAAGCACAGATAACTGTCAAAGCAGACAGTGAAATAAGGTGTTTGTTTCCCTGCAAATGATATGCTGTGCTGTCACAACCACATTTTACAGCCATAGATTCCCACAAACATTGCTCACTGCACTATGAATTATATATTTTACTCTGCACAGATCACAATCTCACACTTGACTAAATAACAATCCAGCCATCATTGACCATTTGTCCCTCTAAATCCCTGGTGTCATGAACCAGAAATAAGAGTGGCTCTATTCTCAACTAGGTAAAAAAACCCAATAACTTACAGCTTCTGCATTCCCTGGAAGGTCTTGATTCCACAGTTGCATGACCTCGAGCTTGGATATATGTGTAAATATAAGTGACATATAGTATGACCATTCCATGTGTGTAAGCAAATGGATTTTGATCCATAAACACTCGCAGTGTAATAAATTTATTAATTCTGAAGGTGCCATGACATTTTGTCCCTTGGTCCTCTTCCCTAGCTTTCTTTCACACACCCCTTTTGTTGCATCAACATGTAAGGACAGGCTGACACGGCTAATTAATTAATTGTATACCCTTTTCTAGAGTACTCTGAAATGGTTTACATTACCCTTCTTTTGGGGTGTACTGGGATCATGCAGTTTGCCAAAGACCACAAAGGCTAATTCTTCTCCTATAAGGCTCAGTGGTGAATTAAACTCCTGTCTCCATAACCAGATGGCCATCTCATTCTAGCCAGTTACCTCTTTAGAAACAGGTACTCAACAGTGCATGATAATCCCCAGAACTGGTGCCCAGTTCACCAAATACTTCTGTTTTTCACCTTTCTTTTCTGTCATTGTCTTTTGTGTCTGCAACAACTTCCTGGTGGTTAGAAAGTTAAT